CGTGGATGGGGTGACCTCAGGAATAACAGACCAATTTTTGTCGATATCTTCGGCACATAAGTTTCCACTCTCGTGAACACAGACCTGGTCATCGGAAGTATCTACTTCAGCCTTGATAACCGGTGGACCCCCCTCTAGGTGGACCCTCTCCATATCGGTCCTATCCCTAGATGAGACTTCCGTGCCCACACTAGCTCCAGTTGGTTGACCTCCATCGAGGGCCTCCCCTCCAGACTCCTGATCTGATGGCAATGACTCAGGGTCCCTCATAACGGGCTCGTGCACCACGTTAACCACTGGCACTTGGGTCCCCGTCCGTAGCAACATCTTCTGTGGAGTTGTGTACTGAGGTTTCTCGACCATCGGACCTTGGTACACTTCTTCTTGAGTGGTTTCTGCATCCTCCTCGTCGGTGGTTGCTTGGTAGGCTAGATTTTTCCATTCAGCGTACCTCCTAGAACCAACTGACACGAATCCTTGGGCCCGGGGAACCCGGTCCTTAGCCAGCCAAATGCCCAGCTTGGTATCCTCGTGTAGGATCAGGTCCTTGTCACTCACATTGGTGACCCTCAAGAATTGGCGATGTCCATGTCCTTGGATCATCGTAGTTACCCATCTGTCTCCACGGGTCATCCATAATTTCCACTGGTCCGACGTAACCCTCTTCAGCGGAACCTCGACATATTTTGTCGCAGGTAAATTCACGTACTGGCCCAATTTGACCTCAGACATATGGCCACTATACAAGGTCTTGCGACCTGTCAGCTGGATTCGAACTTCGTCTGGCAAGCAAATAGTTCCATCCGCCATGTCCAAACGAATTCCAGCTGGCACCATAAAGTCCATTCCTAGTAGTACATCCTGGCCGGTCATGGACCCGACCCACACATTGAAGAAGTATACTAATACACCATTCAGTGTTATCTTGATCTTCGTTCGCCCTTCCGTGGTGTAAACTGCTTCTCCAATGCCCACACACTCTTGTTTCTCGCTTGTGTTAATCTGGCAGCCTGCCTTACGAGCAAAGGCGATATCCAAAATAGATATCTCGGCACCAGAATCAAACAGTAGATTCGCACGAATATTGTTAACTTTTCCAGAGGCTTTGGCTTGCTTAAACCACTTTCCTGGGGCATGGTGTTTCCAGTATCCTCTTGACTCTCCCGGCAATAAATCCAATGTCATCATAGTCTCTCCTCGGGAATAAACGTGAGGTATACATGCATTGGCCACAGCAGCAACAGAATTAATGCAAAAGCCCGATGTATTTCCAATCAATTCATCCAACTTATTGACCTTCTCCACGGGGTGTTTCTCCACAAATGCATAAATGCAACAATTAGAACGCTCGGCTCGTACCAGATTCAAACCTGGCGAGCGTTCTAATTTAACATCTTCTCCGCCGCCTCGGGCAGCTGCCCCGCGTGCTTGGTCGGGTTGTACCACTGGCGAATCAGATTGTAGAACTCTTCCATCGGGCACTTGCCGACGTCATGAACCTTGCCACAACCGCGACACACAAACAGGCAGTGGTCGGCTGGGTGACCCTTCCTTCCACAGCACTCGCAAACGAGTCGCTTCCAACAGTCCAGATCCCCATGCTTCCTAGACCCACAATGGGTACACTTTGTCGCGGGTGTCCCTGGAACCACCTTTTGTCCAGGTCCCTCTGCCATGCGTCGACTTCGGTCTGGGTCTGGGTCCTGATGATCCCGGGGGTCATCTGCGTTCCTCGCCCTGCCAGTGTAGGGCTTACTCGCCGCCGCATAAATTCTTCTGAGGTCACCTTCTCCCTCAGACCCACTGGAGCTGGACCCTTGGTCATTTTCACTTTCAGAAGTGGCTCGGATGACTTGGACGGGTCTTCTCAGCTGACTCTTGGTGTGGTCTGGGGTGGTTGGGGCCTTCTGGCGAAACTTGCTGGACCCGAACAAGACCCTTCCTTGACGCGTCTTCGCTCTCTGACGAGCCAGCAGGACTTCCTCCAGGTCATCTGCATCAGAAAGTCTGAGCAATGTAAGCTGGTCCGCTAATTCTCGATCATCCAAGGTTTCCACGTAATGATCCACGTGTTCACGCTTTACACTGGGGGGGTCCACCCTTAATATCTAGCTTGGCCCTGAGCCCTGCCACATTCAAACGGTACAGATATTCCAAGGGTGACTCATCGGTTCTCTTTCTGGCGTGATAATATTGTCGGGCCACCGACACCCCCAAGCCGCAAAATTGTGCTTGGAACTCTCGCAGAAGCAGCTTCCAATCGACGCGTACCGTTCGACCTAGCTGTCGATACCAATTCTGAGCTGGACCCGTGAGCAGGGACCCAAAAATGAGACACTTCTCGCTGTCTGGTGCCTGGTCTCGGAGGAAAGCCGTCTTTACCTTAGTGCTCCAGCTTCTGGCACGATCTTCATCGTGGTCCCTCCCGCTAAATTCCTTCAGATCCGACGAGGCCGATACCCTAATGTGTGGAACAACAGTAGGGGGTCCTCCTGCCGTAGCCGCGGCCACAGTCGCTCGCGCTGAGGTCATCGGGAACGCCAAGTCATCTGGGTCGTATTCATCATGGGTTGACCCCACAGACTCCATGTCCACATCAGGGATATCGCCTAGTGGTCCTAGGCGCTCAATTCGCTGGGAGGACCTGGGATGAACTGGTCCTTGACCCTTCGTGGTGTGTCCCCTGTCCACTGCAACTTTTGTGGAGCCTTGCTCTTCAAGGAACTTGGTCATCGCCTTATCAAAGTACGACTGGAGTGCGCTAGGGGAAACTGACTCAGTCTTTGTTTCCTGATCCGTTTTTGTCCCCATCAACCTTGGCTCCACTTTGCAACGGGCTTCCGTCTCCTCCTGTGCTTGGCGCTGGACCCATGGGGTTGCTGTGTCCATATGGCCAGCTTCGCGAATTCGTGCTTCTAACAACGCTGCACCAGCTGGACCCAGTTGCATTCGGTCCACCGTATCCATCAGGGCCGACATCATAGATGAGGTGGCTGATTCGTATTGAGACCTTGGTGACGATTCACCGAGTGACCCAGCAGGAGAGCCCACACCAGGATCCACTACTCCTCCATCTTGACGGGGTACTTCCTTTGGGGGGGAACTCCCCCACTAACGTCTTGAGGTGACCATGCAGGGTCACTAAGGTCTTCTTCAAGGTCTCGAACCCGAAATCGAAGAGGGTCTCAGCGGTAAAGTTCCCAGCATCCATCCCAGCTTCATGTAGCAGATTCATTACGGCCTTGAGGACCTCCAGGTCTGTGGTCGTGGTGGGAAGAGCCGTTATCGGACCGTGGACCTGGTCCAGAAGCTTGACCTTGAGCGTCTTCATCACCGGGTCCTTTCGAAGAAACTTCTTCAATTTATTCCGATGGTAGGCTTCTTCCAAATCTTCTTCTGTCCAGTCCTTACTAGCCACGCCTTGGATCTCCCCCGACTCGTCCGTCGTGTCTCCGCCTCTCGGTGCCTTCAACTTGGTATGCTTCTGCTTCTTTTGCTTGTTCTTGGGCACCTTTGGCTCTTGAGTGGTAGGTTGGGAGACTTGCTTCGGGGTCCCTTGTTTTTTAGCTTTCGCTGTCAAACTTGGGACCCCTGGACCATAATATTTATTATGGCCCATGTTGTCTTCTTCAACGAAGACATAAGGGGGAGGATTTTGTGGTTTTTCTTCATATTCCACCTTGACCTCAATAGCAGAGCTCCTCCCCGGGCTCTGCAGGTCCTCCGATCCTTCTTCCTTCTTGATCACTGGCGATCCGGTTTCCAGTGTCTTGGTTGTCCCTTGGTCTATCTTGACCGTTGTCTTTTCTTCTTCGTGGGACTCACGGTGAAATCCCGCGTCTCCCGAAGATCCGGGCACGCGCACCATTGTGGTGGAGTGGATTCTCAAACAACGTGAGAGATCCACAAACACACACAGCGCCGGACTGCCGACTTACGGAGGGGGTACCCCGATACCGTGTCGCGTCAACCTTGGGTCTCACCTTGTGTACCCGTCGGCTTGGCTGGTCTTGCTCCTCGTTAGACGCAGAAGACTTAAAGACTTGGTCTTTGTATAGGACTTGGACTTGGTGGTCCCCGAGTGGATATACTTCACTTGGGACCGGGTTTCTTGGGCTCAATCGACTTAGTCGAGAGCGATGCACCTGGTACTGCGTACCCCTTTGGTGGCTGACTGTTCTTGGTCCTTGGACCCCTTTGTGTTCTTCCCCGTAGGGAAACCGCTTCCTGTAGCGGGTCGTAGAGTGTTGACACTTACTTGACACCTCAGGCCAACTATCCTGAGGTTCAACTTGCGTAGCTTGAGCCGTCTAACACCTGCTGGACGTCGGGGGGCCAAAGGGTATCCCGCCCGGAAGAGGTGAAGCGACGGAGAAGCTTAGGAGGGGCGCTTAAAGCTGCCACGTGTAATGCAAATTCGAGTGTGTTTATTTACCTTATTCTCTGTATGCTTTTCTTGCCTAACCCTAACCCTTTGATCTAGATAGTGCCCCGTGTGGACTCTTGGAAGAAGAACTAGCTCCATGTTACCTGCACTTTCTGTAATCTTCGATATTCTGTGTACCGATTCTGCACCCTCGGACATTGGGCCCCTGGTCCCCTGGGCCCCTGGAACCTGTTTCCGGGACCTGGGGCCTGTGCTGACTCCGCACGTCTGGGTCCTTATATTCTTAATACGGCGGGGCCTGGTGTGTGGTTGTAAATCCGCGAGGCCGGGTCGTGGTCACTCCCTCGGGGAAGTGACCAGAAATTCTCTTGCTCTCTGTTCCATTTCCCTTAAACTCCAACTTTCCCTGGCACTTCACCACAAGGGTGTCAGGGCTGATGGGGACACCAAGGAGTCATTTGAGGTTGATGTGGATGTCTTTACGGCGGACGGGCCCGTCGTCTCGCACTCTATCACTCCCTCTCCCACCACTGGCTCCCTCATCTCCAATCATTCAGTGCTCCAAGTCGAGAGCACCACGCTACCCCGATCGGGATGCAAAGCCCTCGCGCGCATGGCCCGCTCCGACTTCGGCCAGCTTTCGGAACCGGAAGCCCGTCTGGCGTCGATTACGGCCCAGCCTGCGTTGATTGCTCCAGTCCTTCGGAATGACCAGGCCGAGTCGGAAAAAGCGATGATTGATCACGCTATTTTACGTGCCTACAGTGAAGCTCCGGCGTCATCCCACAGCGAGTCGACTCAGTTTCTCAGTCGACTGCGCATGGATTACCCTGAGGAGATCCCCCCGGCTTCTCAACTCCTGTGTTCAATCTATGAAAACGAACCTCACCGAGATGTGGGCTGTGCGTACGCGCTGATGGACTTGTTCTTCCGCACGCACACACCCTCGATCTACCACGACCCCGTCAAGGTCTCGGCTTTAACCGACAACGTTCACCCAGTCCGCCTCCGATTCTGCGAGTTCCTACTGTGGTCCGACGCTACCATCCACGCCTTGTGCGTCGGGGACCTCGGTACCCGACTTGAACCCTTCCTGCCCCCTTCTGTTGCCGTTGCCTTCGGCCTTGTCGTCTGCGATGATCCCGTGAGTGACGGGGACGATACTGACGACAATGGTTCCAGCGACGCTGCCGGTGACGATGACAACGGCACTGAGGATGATACCGACGTCGATGACGTGGCTGCTGCTGCTCCAGACGCTTTAACTGCTCCAATCGCCACGGACGCTCCTGCTGCCGACGATGACACTACCATGAGCTCCCATTCCGATGAGCCTGCAGCGTCCCACCACACTGACGCTTCTCTCTAATTCTCCATGGGCCCTTCAAGGGATCTCCATGAACGCGAATGGTCTCAACCATTCTTCTCTCGCGCTCTTTCAGCCCCTTCTCTCTGCTTTTCACCTGGTGGCTTTCCAAGAAACCAAATTCTCTGATTACGACCACGTCCGGCGAGCCAACTACTTCGCCCATTCCGTCGACTCCAAGGCAACGACCTTCTGGTCCCACACAGCAGACTCCGACTACACCGCCGCACGTGGGAAGGCCGGAGTCGGTATCGTTTTCTCCGGTCGCTGTCCCTTTCACTCTCTCTCCGACGTTACTCTCCATTATGCTGATGGAGCACTTCGCCACCACTACTTAGTCGTCGAGGCGATCATTGACAACTTCCGCCTCTTCATTCATGTGGTCTACGCTCCCGTGACGGTTCCGGAGCGTAAACATTTTCTCGCCACTCTTCCGAGTCATTTCCCGCCAGATGCCCACCACCTGGTCCTCGGGGACTTCAATATACCCATGGACCCGGTCTTGGACGAGGTCACGGCCTACCCGCATGACCTCGGTCGGGCAGAGTTCCGTGACTGGCTCCTGCGTCTTGGCGTGCTGGATGCTTGGCGTTCGTCCCATCCCACCCGCCGCGAATTCACGGGACCCGGTCGCCACAATCGCATCGACTACTGTCTTGTCTCGCCGTCTCTCTTCGACAACTACCTTCGTGACGTTCGCCATGTCACGGACATCCGCTACGGCCATGAAGACCATCTTCCCGTCCGGTTCCTGCTCCACTCTCCTACCCAGCCATCTCAATCCCGCCTACCCTGGAAATGTCCACGGTGGTTACTCCAAGATCCCGCCGTCCAAGCCGTTCTCGAGGCAACTCTCGATGATTTGTGCAATCGCATTCGGCTCGGCCCCGGGGCCAACCCTGGGGCCCTCCTCGACGAACATAAGCGTGCTGACGCTATATTTCTTCGCGAGATGTTTACTGCACGCCGCAATCAAGACCACACCCGGCTCGCTGAGCTGCAACAACATGTCTACGCAACTGAAACGGCGCACGCGGCAGCGCCCACGGTTGCGTCTGAGTCCCTACTCCTGAACGCTAAATCTGAGTGCACAGCCTTCATGGAGTTGCTCGCGTCGAAACGCGAGCGCGCAAAATTTGATCGAGACATCAGCGATCGTGAAACTGGATCCAAGTTCTTCCTCCGCCCACCGTCTGCAGAATCATACCGCGTCGCCATTCCTGGGGTTGTCCGTGCCGATGGCTCCGTTACGACCGACCCTCACGACATGGCGTCTCTTCACCGACACTACTGGGGGGGACTATTTCAGACCCCCTCTCGCGACCTCGCCCCCGAGGTTCCCTGTCGACGGTATAGCCCTGGCGACCTCGAGGATCTCCTCCGACATACAACTGCACGGGTATCTTCTGAAGACCAACGATTTTTAGATGCCCCCATGACTGCTCACGACTTCTACTGGGCGATCACGAAATCACCCAAAGGAAAGTCCAGCGGCTTTGACGGTCTTCCAGCCGAATACTATCAGCTCTTTCCTGAAACATGGGCTCGGTTATATGAGCTTATCTACTCAGCTCAGTTCAGCCGGGGCCGAATGACCAAGTTCCAACGACGGGCGTACATATCGCTGCTGTACAAGAAGGGTGATCGGTACGACCCCAAGAACTATCGGCCCATCACGTTACTGAACCACGACGCCAAATTTGGTCCTAAGATCCTCGCTCATCGGACCGGCCTGATCCTCCCCAAGCTGATTCACGTGGATCAAACGGGTTTCGTCCCAGGCCGTTCCATCCGTCATGCTCTCTTACGCTTTCAGGATCTACAAGCCGTCTGTCGAAGTACTGGCTTGCCTGATGCGGGTGCTGTTCTGCTTGACTTCGCCAAAGCCTTCGACAGTGTGCTGTGGCCTGCTCTTGATCAGGTCCTCCGTCACTACGGATTCGGCCCTAACTTCCGGTGGTCCATTCGGACTTTCTTCCATGGAACACTGGTTAGCGTCCTCGTTAACGGTGTGAAGAGTGACTATTTCGAGTTGGGTTGTGGCGTCCGCCAAGGTGATCCACTCTCCCCGGCGCTTTTCGTTCTCTTCCTCGAGCCGATGCTCAACTATCTTCGCGCCACGACCGGCCATTTGGGAGTCCCAGTTCAAGATGGCGCTTCTCCGCATCACCTGCTGGCCTTCGCCGATGACTGCACCGGGTTTCTTAAGGACCTCCGGTCGACCGGGCAATTCATCTCTGCCGTTACGCGCTACACCACTGCCGCGGGCCTCCAGCTGAACGTCGATAAGACTGTCGTCTTTCCCTTTCAGGCACTGGATCCTTCCATCGGCGGCTCACTTCGAACTGCTGGGTACACCGTCACCGCGGATGACAGGACAACTGTTCTTCTGGGTGTTTCCCAAAGTCCGACGTTGCCGCTCTCTCATCGGCTCGACCCTCTGCTTCCGCGGTTGGTGGCCCGTTGCACGCTCTGGCGTTACCGTGCCCGTACTCTTCGCGGCCGAGCTGTCATCCTGCGAACGATTGTTCTGCCTATCCTCTGGTACACGGCGGCGGTGACTCCTCTCAGTGCGCGGTTTGTTCTTCAAGTCCAGCGTCTCATCAAGGCGTTTCTTTTTCAACTTCCTCTCGACCCCTCCGCTCCATCTCGCGCTCCCATGCCGTCCGAATGGATCACGTGGCCTACGTCCAAGGGTGGCCTAGGTCTCCCGTCCATTTCTGAGTTCGCGTCCTCACTGCACTTGTGCTCCCTTCGCGACGCCATCCGGTACGCGTCCCGCCACATGGCGATTCCATCGTGGTTTGCGGCTGCCGCGTCGCTGCTGACTGCTACTCTTCGCGGTAATGGCGTCACGTTCGACATCCTGTACGCGAAGGTGCCTTCACCGGCTACCCCGCCTCGACCTTGGGCATCGCTCGGTCCATTCTGGTACCGCACCCTCCAGGCCTGGCAGGTCCTCCGCGATTCACCACACAACACGACGGTCTCTACATCTTCCCTGCTCGAGGCTCCACTGTGGGACAACCACCTATTTCGGGTTGGAGGGCTCCAGCGGACTCTCGCGCAGTCTTCCCAGCTCTGTTGCCTTTTTCGCGATTTAGGCTACATCCGCCTTCGCGACTTTGTCGACCGTCACGGTGCTCTGCCCTCGGTAGATGTCTGCCGTCCTCTCCTGGCTTCGGTGGAGTTCTCGTCTCCTCGCCTTCGCTCTTTGGCTGTCTCGCACTTCGTCTCGACGCTTGGATCGTGGGTTAATCTCTCCGCTCCCGTCGCGCTTGGTCCATCACCCCCGACTACTTTGACCTCGTCTCTCCACGGCTGGCGCATTCGCGGGACCATGGTGGTGGCGATGGACAACCGTGACTTCTACAGGGCACTTCACTCGCCCCCGCCAATACCGACGATGCCTCATACGGCTCTAGGCATGTCCTCAGAGCCCAATTGGCTCGGTCTTTGGCGTCGCGACCGGTCGCTGGACCTCGATGTCCTTCCGGTCCTCAGCGATTTGAAGTTTCGCCTACAACACAACGCGCTCAAGCTTCGGTCCAAGTACCAATGGCGACCCGTCGACGTAGGGTGCGTTCATGGCTGTCCGGATGTTGAAACTTCCCGACACCTATTCTGGGACTGTCCATACGCCCAACGTCTGTGGTCCCTCTTCCTGCCTGGCTTCCGGTCGGCTACCGAGCGTCCTCTCGCCTGGGAGGCCGCCGTATACCTTTTGGACACTGGCCTGACCCCTGAGTCCTCCAGGACGATCGGTCAGCACAACTTTCTCCGCGTCTTCAACGTCGTTCGTTGCTGTGTTTTTCGCAGCCTCTGGCTACACCGGAACGAACGGGTCTTTCAACCGACCACGCCCTCCAGCCAAGCGTGGTTGGACGCGCACGCCTGCTGTTACGCTCGGCTACATCTTCGGCGGCTCACCACGACCTCCACCGTTGACCGCCTTTGCCGGTTCAGCGACCACGTGGTCTCGCTGCTCCCGCCGGCGTCGCGCGGCCTTTCTCCTATGGACCCTATTGGTGCTTTTGGTCATCCGCGCTCACCGTCTCTCACTTGATGATCCTGTCGGTAGGTGGTTTTGCCGCAGCGACTAGCAGCGCAGTCTAGGTGGCTCGGTCCCACTGCGGCTTCCCCGGTCTTCCCCTGGTGTCCCTTCGCGGTTGTCTTGGTCATCTTAGACCCTTGAGCACTTGGTGGTACATTCGGAAATGAGCCGCCACGTGGCTCCCCGAAGACCCCCCCGTTTTTCGGAACATTCGTGCACCATTGACATTTTTGGTCAAGGCGAAACTCGTACCCGCACTGTTCGACTTTGAAGTCGGGCTATTCAACCGCTGCACCAATCTCGGTGTTGAAACTTTTGGGACTATCACACCTATCTGGTCCCTCTACATGTCTCATCTCAGCTCATCCTCCCCTTCTATGCACCAGACGCCTCCTTGCTGTCGCTTTCTTCCCCCCTGCGCGTCTCTCCTAGCTTTACTCAGTTTTTACACTTTTCACTCATTTTTTTCTATTTTTAAGTCAACCAGTATAATGAAACCTATTTCACCAGGGTATCGGGACCCAATTCCCGAGGGTGCAGAAACGGTACACATAATATCGAAGATTACAGAAAGTACAGGTACCAAGGAGCCAGTTCTTCCTCCAAGAGTCGACACGTGACACTATCCAGATCAAAGGGTTAGGGTTAGGCAAGAAAAAGCATACAAAGTATAAGATAAATAAACACACTCGAATTTGCATTACACGTGGCAGCTCCAAGCGCTTCCTTCAAGCTTCTCCGTCACCTCACCTATTCCGGGCGGGATATCCTTTGGACTCCCGACATCAGCAGGTGTTAGACGGCTCAAGCTACGCAAGTTGAACCTCAGGATAGTTGGCCTGAGGTGTCAAGTAAGTGTCAAGACTCAAGTGCGAGCTTGTTTCGATCTACCCACCTGTTCCGGGGAAGGGATTTATTTTGCCCCCCCCCCCCCGTTGAAGACAGACGTGTGGTAAGATTCAAGCTCGAACGAACCCCAGGAAGTATTTTGGCCTGTGGGTTCGTACCCATTCAAGACCCGCTACAGGAAGCGGTTTCCCTACGGGGAAGAACACAAAGGGGTCCAAGGACCAAGAACAGTCAGCCACCAAAGGGGTACATAGTACCAGGTGCATCGCTCTCGACTAAGTCGATTGAGCCCAAGAAACCCGGTCCCAAGTGAAGTATATCCACTCGGGGACCACCAAGTCCAAGTCCTATACAAAGACCAAGTCTTTAAGTCTTCTGCGTCTAACGAGGAGCAAGACCAGCCAAGCCGACGGGTACACAAGGTGAGACCCAAGGTTGACGCGACACGGTATCGTGGTACCCCCTCCGTAAGTCGGCAGTCCGGCGCTGTGTGTGTTTGTGGTTCTCTCACGTCGTTTGAGAATCCACTCTACCACAAAAACCCCTGCACCTTCAAGCTCGAAAGGCAAAAAGAAAACTCTTACGCCTCCTTCTTCCGAGTCGAGCGAAAATGCAGGATTTTACGATTCTGGAGACTCTCTTCTCGCAGCTTTATCCGGATCGTGTTCTTCCTCCAGGCACCGCGGCTCGGTGCCTGGTAGCTCTGCTCACACTGGATCACTCGGTTCCCCCATTACTATCGACGTTTCCAGTTCGAAGTCTGATTCACTGCCAGCTTCGCCTTCGCATTCCCGTACTGCTTCGGCTAAAGTCTCGAAAGTAGACCTTTTTGGAGAGCCCTCTAATGATTCCGAGGGTGCTGTCAGCGTCACCAGTGAATCTCGAGAGATGATCGCCATTTTGCTCCTGCCGCAAGAGTATAATGACCTGTCGGATACTCAAGGGCCAAGAAATCAATGGATCCCTGGTTATCGCATTCGGACTCCTCGATCGTCAGCTCAAGTTGCTCCATGGTCGGCTCGACGAATCAGTCTAATCAGCGTGGCTGAGTTGGAAGTCGAATTCTTGTACAAGCACCTGTCCAAGCCAAAGGGATATCCTTTCCCGGTTGCGTCCACGTCTCGAGTACCGCCATCTGATTCACTGTGGATACCTAGGTTGGTAACTTCGGAAGAGATCGCCGCTCTTTATGCCCAAGAACCCTGGAAAGATCTCAATGTGCCGATTACCCCGGTCTCATTCCCAGTAACTGGGTGGTTCGCTGAGTTGAAGCAACTCTACCTCGAGTTCGAGGATCGGCACCGACAGGCGCTGTGGGAATCAACCCATCCGCTGTATTTGTCGACAAAGCAACGGGACAACGATCCCGGCATAGCGAAATTTTGCAGAGAGCGCAAGCAGCGTCGGTCGCGATCCGGGCCCCGTTGGAAAACCGTACTTCGATTTGTCTTGCGAGGCATGATCATGGGACATTGTGATTTAGACATCTTGTTGGACCCCTTTTTTCTCCATTTCCCTTTCTCCTCGGAGATACCAGTGTGGTACCCTGGTTTGGGACAACAACGGAAAAACATTCCCAACCTGATGACTGCACTGACGATGTTGGATGCTGCAGAACCTTGGCGCAACCAGTACCTATTTGCGATTGCGGATCATTCAGGATCTTCTCTTGCCCGCCTTTCCCATAAGTTCTTTCCGCAGTAGCATCCGTGATCAGAGAACATTGCTTCGATAGTTCAATACCATTTTCCTTTGTTTTTCATTTCTTCCATCTTCTTTTTTGGGCTTTTCAGCCGCGATCCAGCCTCCCTGACCTTCGGTCGCTATAAGTAGAGGTGGTACCCAGACTCAGACTCAGTGGGTAATTACCCATACCCAGACTCATGGGTTGGGTATGGGTAATTGGCTTTAATTTACCACCTTACCCATGGGTACCCATGGGTAAATGTACCAAATTTTTGAGACATACATCAGACACACCTGCTCATATAATTTTTATAATTGTTAAATGTATTGGTGACTCATTACGCCTTTTTTGGTGAAAGTCTACCGCATATATAATGCAAAGCAACTGAAGCCGGTGGCGCTGGCCATGCTAAGCAAACTCAAGAAATATATATCAAGCTGGCGTTTAAACAGGATGCAAACTTCTTTGCAACGGTGTTAGATCCAAGATAGAATATCAGCTGGTTCAAAAACCTCGACGAAGGACCAAAGCAATTTGGTCTCTTGGCCATAGCCCAGAAGCAATTGTTGTAATTTACACGATACAATTTCGGAACTGTCGTTCATTTTTACCATACAATACAAGCCCCACTGTCCTAACATACATCTCTTTAAGACGTATGCCAGTTGGCAAGTACAACCTGGGACTCTGCGTCAGCACGACTCCCCTCTCATACCGTCAACCATGAAGCACACCAACTGCCATTTACATGCCTTGCCATCCACTGCCAACTGCCAGCAACTTCCACTGTTCTTCAACTTATTCCAACAATTGAGTTGCTTTTTGTGGATGTAGCATACATGAATCAGAAGTCATTAGAATAGTTCCTGCTTCCGCCACCTGTCAACATTGGTAACGACAAGAGCGATGACAACATGGAGCCAGACGTCTTCGCATTTGCTGAAGGCATAGTTATACAGACCGTAGTAAGCAAAGTCGAGGAAAAAGCTCAAACTTATTTTGCTCTTTCGCCTGTTCGCATACACTAGGTGACATTGGAGTGGTAAGCACTGCATCAGCTGCAATTCTCCACACTTGCAAGGATGGCAAGATTTTATCTGGCCATCCCCGCGACTTCAACTCCGTCTGATAAAGGTCTCTCTCAGGGTAGAAGGAAATACAGGTAAAACAGAATTTCGCTTTCCCTTAAAATCTTGGAGAGGCTTTTGTGCCTCAAGGATTGGATAAGGACACAGGGTCAATTTTTTTGTCGGCAAGGGACTAATTTTTTCCTTTGTCAGCTCGCTAAAACTTCCCACGTGGGAGACGTAGAGTGTGTACTTTTATGACCAATTTTCATAATGCTTTTTCTCCCTTCCATATTGTTTAATAGTCCGCAACTCTGCATGTTTATTGCGCGGGTAACATGGGTAATTACCCGCGGGTATGAGTCCAAGTCGTGGGTAATAAAATTTGAATGAGTCTGAGTCGTGGGTAAACGCAATTACCCAACCCAGACTCATGGGTACCACCTCTAGCTATAAGCATCATACATAAACTCCCTATCCACCACCCTATACAACCTTCTTGCACATGATATCACTTTAAACAACTCGATCGTCATTATCCACCCGTTCCTTCTTCATGCGACTACATTACTTCAAAACGGTTCCTGCTTGCCCGATCGCGATCGAACTCCTGTAATAGAGCACCACAATTGAAATCTACTTCGTCAACCCAGGATGGGTCACTGATTCCTTTCCATTGTACAAGAAATTCTCGATGTATTCTGCCGTAACGAGTCTTTCTTCCGGATCGCATATCCACAATCTTCTCCACCTCAAATTCGTCGGTATTTAGGTTGCAATTCCAACTATCTTCCGGTAACATGGCTTCATCAAAATCCAAGCGATTCGATTCATCAACCTCCAGCAAAGGTTTTGGGCGATCCGGGAAGTTTCTCTTTCGTTCCAACTTCGAGATATGCACCACTGGGAATAAACGATACGGCGTACCCGCGATCTCCAAACGTACAGCGTGTTCTCCACATAATTTTGCAACTCTAAAAGATCCGTGCCACATGTGAGCTAGATCCGGGCATATTCATCTTTCACTCGATCTAAATAAAGCCATGCTTGTGATCCCTTTTCGATCCCATGTTTTTCCGGATCAGCATTATGCTGTTCGGCCCGATCTTGGATCGCGACTTTGAGACGATCGTTCACTACAGCTCTTGCACGTTGGTATTGGCTTTGTACATGATACCGCCATCTCCGTGGCTACGAATCACGTCGTTTTGTGCTTCCTAATGTTAAGGTTGCTTCCAATGTTGATCGCGGATCCCAGCCGTGAATCAAGTAAAATGGGGTATCTCCTCGGGCGCGATCTTGGGCAGTATTAAGCGCAAATGTTAATCTCTCTGCGTATTCGTCCCAATCCCTTTGACCTACGTCTGCTACATACATCTTCAAGGCTTTCGTCAATGTTTGTACCATTC